AGAGAGAGAGAGAGAGAGAGAGAGAGAGAGAGAGAGAGAGGAACCCACGAGAAAGTCATAACTTCCTCAGACAGATAGGACAATGGGCGTGGCCAGAGACCCTGACAGACGGCGAGGAGTTAAAACAAACAAGGCGATCGCTGACACCCCCTTCCTAAGGGGGGGAATCCCCTCGCTCTGATTGGTTCGCGCTGTGACGTCGTCATTAAACCGTGATGTTTTATTGGTCGCGCCGCGTCAAACAATGGCCCCCGCGGGGCTGGCTAATTGCGTGAGATAACAGCGGGGTCTCACTGGGGGGTTAACGGGGCTGACTGGGAGCGGGGGTGAGATAGGTTTGCTCGCGTCCATTGTCCGCCGTATGTGGGAAGCCAGCAGCATTGTCTCAGCACTACCGTATTGGTAGGAAAGTCGGCTGCAACTACTACTGCAAGAAGATAAACCCGGGGGACACAGAAGGAGAGAGCGACCGGCTACTGAGGTACCGTACCTGGCTGGCTACTTACTGGTAGGACCATCACAGTCATATATAGCGAGCTTCGTGCTTCAATATAATAATTCAGCTACTTATGTATTTAAAAAATAATATCCATTAATATAGTATACAACACTGACATATTACAATTAAATAGTGTATGGTTTAAATTATATTTTAAAATCTTTATGTGTGTATTAAGTATGCATAATTATAATTAATACAAACATTATACATGATCGACTCATAGTGGGCACAGAATTATTTAAGTACATAATATTTCAAATTGTATTCACACTTTATAATAATGCCGAACTATTGTAATGTAATGTAATGAAATGATGATGATATAATATAATATAATATAATATAATATAATATAATATAATATAATATAATGTATAAATTTACGTACTTACATATATTTTATAAACTCTACAAAACATACGTACATTCAGCCTAGCTCTATATACACACATAGTAAATATAAAAGGGCCAAATTTACAATATTACAATTTACGCATCCGCTCACCACAGACATTATGTACACTCTTACAGTACAGGGTACATACACTGACAGACACAGACCACGACTTATACATCATGCTTTGCCTACTTTCGCAATAGATTTTATGCATGTGCGAATGTACCTATATAAGGTGTATGTATGTGTGTTTGTGGGTTTGTGCAGATCTATATGTATGCAGGTCCCTGTTTGTGTGTGTATCTTGTTTATGTATGTTTAAGTATATATATGTTTTTGTGCACGTGTATGTTTTAGCACGTGCGCGCGTATACTTTTATTTGTCTTTTTGTCGGCGCATGTCCAATTGTACAATTATTGTCTCCCTTAGTCATAATCAACATAGCTGTCGTCTTCAATAACAGAACATTTAACATAACTTTCTCATTTCGAGAAGCCTACACATACATGGTCGCTTTTAAGCACAAGGGGGCTATCCCGAAAAATTCTGTTTTGAGAAAATCGAAGGTAACGTTTTTGGACACTTGTTCAGTTTCCTTAAAAGACAGGGACAGTTTTCTCTATAACTAAACAAATATACACACCACTGAAACCAAATTTCTCCTATAGGTAGGGCAATGCCCACTTTTGGTGTAAGTCAGGATTTCTGGAAACCACGAATAGGGGGTAAGCCCATTTGTCCTTATAAAGCGACCATATAGATATATAAACCTCTGTACGTTTGAAATTGACTTATTGCTGTTTTTTCACGCCAACATCGGCGCAACTGAGGTCTTTTTCTGAGGTTGTCTGCTCAGTCTCTCCCTCATAAGATCAACCCGGGCTTTGTGAAATACAAAATCGTTATTAGTTTTAGTAAGATATTACGCACGGTGCTCGGAAATGCATAAGGTCAAAATATGAGCGCCAAGGGGTGGGTGTCAACAGAGAAGTCCAAACGGGGAATCAAGCTTACTCTGCTCACCTTTCTAGCCCCAACAGCAAAAAATCTGCTTCGATTATCAGGGCACCCCGGAAATAGAGTTCACAAGAGAGTGACAAGCATACAAAAGAAGTACAAGAAAAATACGATAAATCTAGTAAGGATGAGGAAAGAAAAACAGTTAACTGATGCATATTGGGAAATTTGGGTTTTAATGGCAACATACACACATAATAATACAATATACATAATAAAACACACAGATACTTATAAAAAGGATACCAAATATGTACACAATATTGCACCAATGGAGAACAATTATTATTTTACAAACATGCCATTGCTGGTCGCCACTGTGCAGCGCCCTGGGGTTCTTTTAGCTGGGGTGGTAGTATAAACTGTCAATACTTTTGACGTCAAAAAGTTTGAGCGTGGATGGCCTATTTTAAGTCCTAAAATCGCCAAGCTTCAGTCAACGATTCACTTCTTGACAGAACAGAGAAAGCACATTGTCTTTTCCTGGTTACCAAGCCATGTAGGCACCTGAGGGAGTGAGCTGGTCGACCTTCTGGCTAAAGAACCTTTCTCCATCTTGTTGGGATCGACGGAAAACACAGAAAGGCGTTAAAATTTAGACCAAAATAATGCCAAACCTCCATTGTGTTGGAGGAAAAATGAAGCCAACTAGTAAAGAATAAACTCAACAGTATAAACTATAAGGCCTAATCTAGGTCCAAGAAAACCCTCGGGTCTCTCCAGAAGAGACGCAGTTATTTCATAACGAAATTACGTATTAGACAAACCAAACTATATATATATATATATATATATATATATATATATATATATATATATATATATATATATATATATATAATTTTATTATTATTATACATATATACATAAAATTATATCCTGTTTTGAGATGATAAACGATTTTGTGTCGGATGCAAAGCAAACTTAACAATCAGGCATAATATCCTAGTATGTGGGCCGACGCGGTGGAATCAGGCGCTCGCTAATTGTTGGGCGTGTGGAGTTATTGGTATAATCTTAATAAAGTATATTATTCTCTTGTCTTCCTGTCCAAGAAAAAAATACTATTCAATCAGTAATAGAAGTCGAGATATTGCAATTAATTGAATGAGGTGGAAACGCCTGATTTCAATGATAAAATTAGCGAGGAACTGACAGCCAAAGTTTAGTAATTTTGATAGTTTAAGAGTGCATGTACTTAAAAACTGAAAAATTACATATTTTTTTGTATCCAATCAATTTTTTTTTCAATAAAATTAACACAAAAGTGTGTTTTTGTATGGACATAAAGAGGTTGAGCCAAAAAACAAAAATTCGATAAAAATTGCCTAATGGCGGGAAAATGCCTGTTTCTCCGATTTCGTAGGTTTAACGAGCGCCCGATATCCCACAATGCCTCACATATCATAATGTCCAGCCTTTGGAGGAACCCGATGGAAAATTGTTCTTAATGCACTAATTTGAAGAGTTTGTTTCCCAGCTCTGATCCCAACACAATTTTCAATTTTATGTAAGCCATCGGCCAAAGATGTAAATAATTATATTTTAAAGATATAAATGGCTAATTTTACAGCTTATTTTTTTCGTAATTGTTTTTTTACATTCAGTCTTTCAGACGTCACAAAGTAAAACTAATCTATGCTTTGAAATTAATTGAAAAGAACCAACTTGAATTCTGCTCGTTCTTAATGATTTTATTTAATGTGAAGTCGCGAACACCGTAAAACTCGTACCAAAGAATAACAGTTGGTTCATTAGTGTATCATCCTGGGCAAAAAGGTCTTTGATCCGAGTTTTACATTATACCATTCGTGAAAATGAAGTAAAATAACAAAACTAAATTTTATTAAATTAAATGTTTATTACCGTAAGCTAGTTTTAATCGACTATACAGATACGTCTATCAGAATACAAGTCTACAATGCAGTAGAAGTGCAGGTGCATGGTATTCTCTACACAGATTTCTATCCATGTCCATTTCAGAAAATGAAAAACAAAACAAAAATGGTTTTAAAATTAAAAAAATAATTCGAGAGCAAACAAACATTAAAATTTAATGAATGTATTCGAGGAATGCCTTTTTTCATTATGTAAAAGCTTCTTCGTGAAGGTCTGCATGAGAAGGAAAATGTTATTGAACATAATTTTTTTTTAACCACTTTTTATTTTAGAACTGTTTTTGTTTATTGACAAAATAATAAGCATTATGAAATGAGGAGCTGGTCTTTTTAAAAATAATATGCTCCTTTAAATGTTTTTCGTTTCTTTTCTTTTTTATGGATCGTGGACTTCTGAGTAGAGCAGAGAAGCGTACTTATAACATACAATTGAAAACTGTTTATGGAAGGGGCACGTTCTTGGCTAAAAGCTCACGGTAATGTGGTCGAGTGTACAAATACTTTGTATCTTTATTCTTTAAAGGCAAGCAAGAGTCCTTTTGGGTGACACGTCAACCCATTCCGTGAACAATCTGGTCACCCAGTTTATGTTCATAAGGGTCCACACTTGATGTTCGCGCCCTAACTCCCTGCAGATCTTTTGACTGTGTGTCTTTCTTGACTTCAATCCACGGATAATTCTAGCTGTGTGTGTTTGTGTTTCCGGTTAATGTTTAATTTTTATTTTATTTTAAATTTGCGGTAGGGAGATTGAGGCGATTGAGACGAGGGTTTGGCTTTCGATACAACCGCCCATCATTAACCGCACAGACTAGACAACCACATCAGCCGAATCATAATCATTTGTTATATGGGGAACAACAGCAGCAACGACAAGGCAACAACAACAGCAGCAGCAATTACAACAATAATAACGATAACAACAGCAACGATAACAACAACAACAACAACAACAACAACAACAACAACAACAACAACAATAACAACACTCTCAACGACAGTAGATCTAGTAGCAATAAAACAACAACAGCACCAACACCACCACCAACAGAAACCGTAGCAATACCATCAACAACATCAACATGCCTTGGAGCAGTTCATACACTTCACACTTCACACTTCATCCTCACATTAAATGCAAGACCAGCAGTAAGACCTCATTCAAGAACTTCTGTCTATTAAAGTGCGGTCAAAAATTCGTCGTGCAACGTATCCCCAAATATATCTTTAATGTGTGAATCAATGGCATTCATACTTTGCACCCTAGTTTGTGTCATTTTGTCTCAACGTAATGATCCTGTTCAACAACAAATCAGGCTAGATTTTTACATAATTTCTGCAAAAATATAAAATGCTACAAAAGTACACCATTTCGGAAAATGGAAATGTTCACAGCACTTCCCGCTTCTCAAACACATTTTGCATACGAATGGATTAAGTCACTGCTTACCAAATGACACTTTTTGGTTGCAAAACTTTAGCTCACTCATGCAAGCAATCTCCTGATAACTGACAAGTGAACCTGTAAAGAATCCCTGCTCCTGCTTTATAATTCGTCTGACGAGGAGCAACTTGATGACGAGGGGAAAATCATAGAAGTATAATATGGCAGGGAGATGCCTTGGTCTGATGCCGTTATTCTTGACTTTAATAGAACCGGTAAGGATGTGCGATTGTTTAAACATTCTTCACA